CCCCCCCCCCAAAATCTAGTGTTAACTGCATTTACTGCTGTGCAATTCCTATTACTGATTTTTGAAGTCATCTCTGTTACTTCTTTACCTTATGAACATGTATGTGGAGTTTCTCTCTAAATCAGAAAGCAAGAAATGCTTCTGGAGACATTTCTCTTAGGATATCTAACAAGGTGAATAAGCTTGAACTTGCCAGTATGTTTGTTCTCCAATGCTTGCTTCCAGTTTTTTGCTAATGGTGAACCTAAGAGGGCGTTTGATTGCCAAAATGTTTTTCAAAGGAATGAAATCTGTCATAGGAATTGGAATCTTGAAGGAATTGGAATGAAATGTTATCAAGTTTGACCAAGTTTTTGGTTTGTAGGAAATCGAATGTAATATGTCAAATGAATTGGAATATGTCTGTTTGGTTTATAGAGGAATTGGAATGAAATGATGAAAATGACCAAAATACCCTTTATTTGAATTTGTATTTTTCATTTTTTCTTAAACTATAAATATAATAATTTAAGAAAATTGGTTTAATGGGGTAGTTTTATCATCTTAAGAAAAATGGATGAAATTCAATTCCTTTCCCACTATGATGGAATGATGAAATCCATGGTTGGTGGAATGTATGGACTTCAATTCCATTTCATAGGTAAACCAAACCCCGGAATGGAATTTGGTCAAAAGAGTTGACCATTCCAATTCCATCGGAATCCTGTGAACCAAACGCCCCCTAACTTGTATGCAATGAGGCATCCCACAGGAGAGTCCATTTGGTCCTCCCTGCTAAGGTTTGGGTAAGCCTGCAACTGGGATTGCATTTCCATTGCCTAGTTTAAAGAAAAGAAAGATAAAGAACTTGAATCAGGAATCCTGGTGGTGGGCAATCGTTATTGCTGAAGTTTGCTACTTTATTGTTTTCAGGAAGTAACACCATTTTTTTTATCATTAAATCACGATATCGTACCTAAGAGATTTCAATCAAACAGAGGTAGTTCTTTCAAGTTTGGGCTTGCACCTTCTTCGTAGGTCCCTGTCAACAATTTGTGCAGTGAGTTGAAGTTTTATTTATGGTAATTTAAGGACATCCAGAAGAAGAAAGAAGAAATAAACATACACAATTGCTGATAGTCTTTGATATTAAAGGTAAACTTCAATTATGTCTGCTTGTTACATTTACTACTAGCTCATGACCTCAATTTGTAGAACGCTTGTGATGGCCCTTCTTGTACAGCTTAACACACACATGCACAGAGGGGGGCACCCTTTCATGGTATTCCTTGGAATTAAGGAGTGTGTTGCTTGTTTCTATTAAGGAAGGCAGAAGTTTAGCAGCAGAGGAACCGGGGTATTTCACTTGATCTAATGAAGTTTTGCCAGATAAGATCATAGGAAATTTGTGAAGGCAAATGCTGCTGTAATGATATCTGACATTGATCCCCTACCATGTTGAATCCTTAAAAGATGATGTTGCCATTCAAGATGGAGAGAGAGCTAAGATAATGATCCACAACCATATAGCTTCCATGATTGTGAATTTTGATTCATTCCATTCAAATACAATTATCGTTGGGTGCAAATGGTTTTTGTTTTCTTTGATTTGAGACCGGTTCTGTGTACACAATCATACATGTAATCTATATGAATCTTTGATCATTTATGTTCAATGATTTCTATGTTGAATTTTCAGGTCCCTGCATGATAAGATGAACTGCTACTCTGCCGCAAGAACAGATTCTTCCGTAAGAAAGGCTAATTGGAGGGGATCAAAAAGGACCTGAAGGGTCCAATAGAAAATTACAGCAGAAAATGTTGAAGCTGTAGGTGAGGAAGCAATAAGAACGAAATGACAACGGTTAGGAGACTGCACGCGTGGGGGTGAGATGCCTCTTGGTTATTTTAAGCAAGGAACCGTTCACCAGCACAACTTGGGTAAGTGTTAACCGGGTACGAATGTGGTTATGGTTAAGCGTTGACTAAAATGGTTCTCTATCAATTGTTTTATAGCATGTCTTACCGATTAAATACATACCTTTATCATCTAGTGATGACCTAGTAAGTGAAATAATAATGTTGACGGGTAGTATTAGTTAGATCAATCTTTAGGTACACTAGTTGATGCCGATTGAGTTGACCATGTTGACCAAATCAACACCTGTCAGCACTATCACTCAAATCAATTTTTAGGTAAACTAGTTGATGTTGACTGTTTACCAAATGCTTACCGGGTAACTTAGCGGTTGTACTTGCCTTAGCAGGTGGCGTGGCAAGGACCAATAATCTTACACAGTACGAGGCATAGGAAGTACCAATAATCTTACCCAGTAAGTGAGAGGGAGAAGACACTTACCCAGTAAGCGCTTACCGGATGCTTACCAATAATCCATTTAAATGTATAAGAATGTTACTCATAAGGTAAGTGAGGGTGGTGAAAATTGCTAGTAATGAGGGAGATAAGTCAGCCTTGTTACCCGAATCAACACCGGTCAGCACTGTCAGTCATATCAATCTTTAGGTAAACTAGTTGACGCCAACTGAGTCAGCAGCAAGTAAAGAGGCCCCAAGTCCGAACCACTTGGACAAGGCCACACGGCCGCTACTAGGATATGTTGTTAGACAAAAGGGTCTTATCAGCTTTGTATGTGTTGCATGTGTCGTTAATTGCACAACAAGGTTTAAAGTTATAAACGGAACTTATATCAGTAAAGATGGTATGTCGGGTGTTGTTCTTCTCAGAGAATCAGTGGTCAAGCCAAATGATTTTGTTAAACTGATTTGCACGTGTATTATAAAGATTGACTGCTCAAACTTAAGCAATTATGCTCAAAACCGAAATCTAAGTATTACAAATGATACTGCTACGGGGATACCAATGGACAATCTCTGCATTGCCAATCAATTTATATTTTTAAACATTGAAGCACATACGAAACTTTTGAATATTAAATCAATAAAAACCGAACAATATCTGTCACATATCAGTATGATGATGATAAAAAGGTATGAAGCAATGAGAAGAAGCAAAGAGACATTCAAGAGGAGGATTAAAAGGGTAATGAGGTATGTATTAGTGATGTTTTTATTTGTGAGGGTGTAGTCATAGGTATGGGGCCAGGTTTGTTTCTATATCCAACCCATCGCTAAAAATCATGATTTATGGAGGATTCAATGCCTTTATAGACTTACCAACTCATCCTTCTAGCTTTGTTCTTTCCAATTTTTGACATATATATACATATATATATATATACATATGTATATATATATATAGAGAGAGAGAGAGGGGGTGAGTGACGGGTTCAAACGAGAACATCCTAAATCAGGGACGGACTTACTTTGGTGGTTATGGTGGCACGTAGAGATGGCCAAAAACCGGTCCCGGGCCGGTCCCAATCAGTCCTCATCTTTCTCATAACCGGCCATAACCGGTCCCAGCGTAACCAGTCCCGGTCTCGGTCCCGGTCCCAACCGAAAATGATAGGACCGGTCAAGGTACTTCATAACCGGTTATGGGCCGTCGGTCCCGGTCTCGGTTCCAACCGGTCCTTGCATTAAAAAAATATGATTTTTTTTTGATTTTTTTAATGATATATATTTTTAATACATTATAAAATTTATAATTGAGTCACTTAAATACACTTTAAAAATGTGTTTTAATATAATTAAAATTACGTTTTCTTATAAAAATACATTATAAAATTATTTAAAAATACATTTATTTATAAAATTATTTGAATTTTCGAGCCGGGCCGGGCCGGTCCATAGTCGGTCCCATAACCGGTTCCGGTCTCACGAAACTACCAAAAACCTCAACCGGTCCCGGTTTTCGGTCCCATAACCGGTCCTTACCGGTCCCGGGCCGGGCCGGGCCAATTTGACCATCTCTAGTGGCACGTGCCACCATATTTTTCCTCTGTCGAAGGGTAAAAGAATTTAGGTTCGTGAAAGGTACAACCGTATTAATCTGTTGTGTGTCACCGTATGTATTTTTAAACTACAATGAGATCAAGTTTTATTTGATATAGTTGGTTTGCAAGATTTTTATACCACCCAAGACTCAAGTTAGAATCGTGTTAGTGTTATTTTCTTAGTCAAATAGTGTCTCCGATTGAAGAAAAAAAAATTTGTATATTTGTTTCTTATAGTCAACGGTGTCACCGTTTGATTTTTTTTTTCCTATAGTTTTTTCCTATAGTCAAATGGTGACATCGTTTGAAAAAACTTATGGGTCGGTCTATGTCCTAAATAAAAGGTAAGAACGTATTTTAACCATGTACATAATTAATTTAGGAGTTAATTCAAAATAAATAAATAAATAATGGGCATAAATGACATTTTTATTTGGATAAATAACAACCTCATTCCTAAAGGTCTCGCCTTGATAGTTATCTTGCAATAAATCATATGGATTTTGACTTATTCTTTCGATCACGTGTGATATATGTGTGTGTTAATGTGATTAATCTCATATGTTTACACTATAAAATCACATAGTGATTTAGGTACAATGATACCACTAGTACAAACCTAAAACGACAATACCTCACAAACAGTGGCGGATCCAGGATTTTTGTTCAGTGGGGTCACCTTTAAGGTAGACTAAAAACCCGCAAAATCGTCTGATGTGTTTTTAACCTAATTACAACGTTTTCGAGGGAATTTTAAAGTTTTTTGGTTGATTTCGAAGGATTTTTTTAGTGTTTTTGTCAATTTCGAATAACTTTTTTGGTTTTTTTGATTGATTTCAACAGATTTTATTTGTTAGAGTAACAGCTTTGATTGGGGTTGGGGGCCCCGGAAAAATGTAATGGGGGGGAAAGTGAAAGGTAGATCATGTAAAACCTAACTTTTAACCTATGAATTTTTGTTTTTGAGTTTTTGACTGGGGTCCCTTCCCCCCTCCTTTAAACCACTACATCCGCCCCTGCTCACAAATGATATCATATATACGACCCTGAAACAGAGAAATCATATCGTTGCGTCTAAATATCACGTGTTGTGACTAACCAAGGCATCAGAAAGTTTGAGGACAAAAATATATATTTTTCTAATTAAAATAGGTGGAACAAAAATAAGGAAAATGGTGTATAAAATTAGTAATTTACTAAACTGTTCATGTCAAATTATAACCCTAAACTTTTGTACAGTTGTTTTACCTACATACTTCAATTTTGGTCGTCCAATTATTTTCAGTCCTAGGCACCTACACGCTAAACCAATCAATATTATTGTACTCGCTTGACTACTCACAACAGATTTTGGATTACTTTTGAGGGTAATGAATAATATTTTTAGACTTGAAAATGTTGTTAATTTGATAGACGAAATATCGTGTGAGAATAGGAGTTAAGGTGATACGTGTAAAAAGGGATTTGGACCTTTAATCATTTTTAACCTTAAAGCAACTCATGAATTGCGTTTTAGAAGAGAACTGATCTTGTGTATATCATTATTGTCGATCTAATGGTTCTTTTTTATTATGATTAAAACAACTCATAAATGCGTTTAATTAATTTATTATCTTCATAAATACGAAACTTATAACTCCCATAAATAGGATACATATAACTCTCCACATTGTATTATCTTTGAATTTTTTATGCCGGTATCACAAAGTGTATTTTCATGGGGGTTTTTTGTATCACATTGTGTATCTTAGAATATCACAGTGGAGATCAGTAAGTGTAAAGAGATAACGATCATAAGCAATCACAATGTGTATACAGTGGGATGTTCACGTCAGGTGGTAGAGGAAAGAGAGGAGATACAAGATCTCTAAAATACCTAAAAATGTCATGATTTAAAAAAATTAAGTTAAAATTACCAAAATTATTAATTTCCAAATTTAAACTTTGATTTGTATTTTAGATAAAATCTAATGGATCTCACAAAATAATGAGTTCCTGCCTTTGATTATTTTTTACCAAGGGCGATTTCGTTGTTTGGTTTTTTACGCATAGGCATAATCTGGTATGTTTTCTGCTGTTGAAAATTTTAGGCGAGTTGTATCAACATAATAGAAAAAGAAATTTTGATTCATTTGTTAATGAGGCGGTACCCAGATTTAAACGGGAAAAAAGAATTTGTAGTCCCCGGCGTTACCACTCGTCCATACCGCTCAAACGACACACAGTAGGAGATAATATATACTATTTTTGGTTGGATTACTAAGGGGTTGTTGGTAAGTGTTTATCATGTTACATTACTTTATCGGATGAATATGGTAAAGACCAATAATATTATCCGGTAAGAGCGAGACAAAAACCAAGAGTTTTACCCAATAAATGAGAGTGACAACTCTTACCATGGTAAGCGTTCACCGAGTAAATTATTGCATACGATGCCGTTTTTGTAAACTAAAATTTTACCCGATAAATAACTGATAATATTAAATTTTATCAATAAATGTTTATCAGGTAAATGTTTCATCAACCGCTACTAAAATAAGAGGTAAGCTTTCACTGCGCAAGCAATTTTTTTTATTTCTTTTCTTCTTTTTTTTTCTTCTTTTTTTCTATTCACCATTAAAAAAACAATTAACCATTCATTATTTTCATTTTAATATTGAAAAACATATACATATGTATTTATTAGTATTTTTTTAATAATTTGTAATAACAAATTATTTATAAGATATATTTTATTAATTTATTTAAATAATTTAAAATAAATAAGTGATGTAAAATAAACAGAGAATTAAAGTAATAATATTTTCTTGACATACATAAATAAAAAATCTAAAGAATTTAACATTCGTTAATAATTTCAATCATGATACCGAACTTAAATTATTTAATAGAATCCAAAACAAAATTCAAGTTTTATGACCAATAAAATACAGTTCTTAAAAGCTAATAACATATTTAAGATTTAAATCTATAAAATCTTTTGACATAATCTCAATAATCATCTAACCAGTTTCAAAACTACAGATTTTGTTTCAAAATTTTCGTTAGATATGTACTCCTGAACTACTAAAAATGAACTGTTAAACTGATTGTAAAAGTTTCATCTATTTTTTAGATCTTTAGCAAACATCTGTGTTTTCAACTTATGCCCTCAATATTTTTAGTTTCTAAAGAACGT